CTGGGCATCCGCTGTCCCCCTTCCGTGGCCGGCATCGCTCCCACCGTGACCCAAAGTACCCCCCGCAACACACACACACACACATCCACACTGCCTCGTTAGTAGCAAGCTAAACCTTTGTTGAAAGACTTATTATCGTTTGGGTCACATGCATACAACAGTGTTGGTTCTTGGGGCCGGAGAGATAGGACAGTGGGGAGGGCGAGGGCCTTGCAACGTGATGGACCTGGGTTCCATCCCCGGCATCCCCCACGATTTCCTGAGCCCCGCCAGGAGTGATCCCTGAGCACACAGCCGGGAGTAAGCCCTGAGCCACGCGAGGTGTGGCCCCCAAACCAAGAAAGGAAACCAAACAAACAGTATCGGTTGTCAAGGCTGCGTCCTGTCACGGCTGCACGAGCCGAAATGCCCAGACCGATGCCCTGCTGTGACCGCCAGTCACCCCCACCCACCCTGGTTCCGGTTCCCGTGTCTGGAGCCCACGCTCGGGTCTCTTCACACCTTTCTTTCCCTGACGCCCCCCACCCAGGAAGATGAGAAACTGGGAGCTTCCGTCTGACTTTTCCCTGGACACGGTCCCCTCCAGCTCCGTCTGGGCTGCAGTGCACCCCAGGATCTCCTCTCGTGCGTCTGCCTAGTGCTCTGTAGCGTGGGTGGGTGTGCTACAGCCTCTTGGCTGGAAATGGGGTATTTAAGACACCGGGCGGCACCTATCAATGCCGGGGGGCACAGTTGGGCTGGTCCTTGGGGCAGGAGGCATGTGGAGGGATCGGACTCAGGGTCTAGTGCCCCCCGGCATGTGTGTTGCCAACCTGCCACAGGACACGAACTGCGCATGTGACAGTGATGAGGTGGGGACGGACAGAAAACCGCTCACACGTCATCTGAACAAAGCTCAACTGTCAGAGTGAAGAAAAGACAGCACAGCAGGGAGGACACCTTCTCTGCACGCGGCTGACCTGGGTTCTATCCCCAGCACCCCATGCGGTCCCCTGAGCATCACTGGGTTTGGCTCCAAAAACCAAAAACAATTGAAATTAAAAAATATCAACACTGGGGCCAGAGCAATAGCACCGTGTGGAGGGCGTCTGCCTTTTGCACGCGACTGACCTGGGTTCAATCCCCACCATCCCATAAAGATTCCTGAGCACTGCCAGGAGTGATTCCTGAGTGTAGAACCAGGAGTAACCCCGGAGTACTGCTGGGTGTGGTGCAAAACACACACACAAAATCAGGGCTGGAGGGACAGGAACAGTGGAGAGGGTGTTTGCCTTGCATGTGGCCGAACTGGGTTCGATCCCCCGGTATCCTATAGGGTCCCCCAAGCACCACCAGGAGTAATTCCTGAGTGCAGAGCCAGGAGGAACCCCTGTGCATCACTGGTTGTGAACCCAAACAGCAAACAACAAACAAACTCTCAAAATACAAAAACCAAAAATAAAAAAAACAAACAAACCAGAAAACCCAAACAAAAAAAAAGAAACCAGGGGCTGGAGCGATAGCACAGCGGGTAGGGCATTTGCCTTGCATGGGGCTGACCCAGGTTCGATTCCCAGCATCCCATAGGGTCCCCCGAGCACCGCCAGGAGTAATTCCTGAGTGCAAAATCAGGAGTAACCCTGTGCATCGCCGGGTGTGACCCACACTGTCCTCCCGTTGTTCATCGATTTGCTCGAGCGGGCCCAGTAACGTCTCCCTCGTGAGACTTCTTGTTACTGTGTTTGGCATATTGAATACTCTCGGTAGCTTGCCAGGCTCTCCGAGAGGGGCGGAGGAATCGAACGCGGCTCGGCTGGGTTGAATGGACGCAAGGCAAACGGGCAAACGCCCTACTGCAGTGCCCAAAACGAAAGAAACTACCTGATGATGTGGGTGGGTGGGTGGTTGCCACGGCAACAGCTGGGCTCAACACCCTGGTTGTCCTCCCAGCCCCTGGCCCCCAGCTGGTCGAGACCCTCAGAAGGCTGGAGGCCCTGTCAGAGGCCCTGAAAAGCCCAGGCAGCCCAGGATGTTACAAATGACGTCCCCAGCCCGGGGGTGGGACCCCTGCCCTGCAGCTGAGCTAACACTGCTGGAGAAACTGCCTGGAGAGAAAAATGGTTCCTCACAGGAAAAATCAATGAGGGGAAAAGTCTCCAGGTGCCCCCCGAGTCAGAGCCCCCTGCCACAGCCTCGCGGGCCAGCGCACGGCACCGCGGTTGCCCTCAGGACGTGAGCCGGTGCCCGTCCCCCGCGGCCTCCCCCAGCTTCTGCCACCGAGGGCCCGATGGATGTGAAGGTCCACTCTGGGCCCATAAAGAATCCACACAAGAGGGGCCCGGGCAGGACTGACAGCCAGCGGTTTTTATCTGCCCTCGCTGCAAAAATTACTTCTGTCAAACACTTAGGAGTGTGAGGAAAAATGTAAAAAAAATGAATTTTTCATGGGCTCCCACGACGGCCGCTCCTCACACAGCGGCTTGAGATGAATTCGCGTCCGGCGGTTAAAAAATGAGCCCGCGGGGCTCTGCCGAGACAGACCCGGCCGGCCGCGCTCGCTCACGGCCTGAACCCTGAGCCCAGCGGCCGGAGGAGTCGGCTGTGCGGGCAGATGTGGGGGGTGCTGGGTTCCCAGCGGGGTTGGGGGGGGTCTTCTCCCTGTGTTCCATCCCCCTGGCCTGAACCTTCTCCTACTACAAAGTGTTCTACCCGAACAGTCCTGGCGGTGGTCTGAAAGACAGGAGGCCCTAGGGAGCACTTTGTAAGGCCTCTGGAGCTTGAGTTCGTGTGAACAAGCGGAAATGGGGCCCCGGGCCACCACGGTCAGCACTGGCAAGGAACTGCATGGCGAAGGCAGCACGGAGCCCTAAGGCCTGGCCACTGCTCCGGTTCTCTCCTAGGGGAGGCCGGCGGCCCAGGGCACACCGTTAGGGGATTTCTCAGCAGTGCCCGTCAGACCCTCCCTGGTGGTCCTAGCACGGGGCTCCGGGCACTTGAGGGCGCACTCCAGGAGGAAGGGAGCTACCCAGAGGAAGCCGGCCAGGGCAGGCTCTGTGTCCGGGGCCCACAGGGCACGGCCCTTGGCTCTGGGGAGATGGTTCCGCCCATGCGCTGGGCAGCCAGGCTTCTGAGACGTGTCTCTCAGATCTGAGCCCGTGGGGCTGTTCCTCGGGGGTGACCCCGCACCTCCCAGGCCTGGGGAGGCCCCTCTCTTGGAATGGTCACTGGCTGTCCCTGCAGAGACCGTGCGTGGCTGGTGTGGGGTGTAGAGAACTCGCTGCCCAGCTCTGAGGCCTGGGCACGGGTGCTGGTGCCAACGTGCAGGATCTGACCGGCGGGTGTGTGGGAGATTTAAGGCGGAAGTTTGAGACCAGACAAACGGCCGTGTGCTGTCTACACCCGGGTGCCCTTGTGTGTGGTTCTGGAAGCCTTGCCCAGTCCACTGCCCCTCGCCGGGACAGCAGAACCATGGCAAGTCCTCAGCGAGCTCCCCTGCAACCTGCCTGTCAGCCCGGATCCCGGCTCTGGAACGAGCGTGCGGTGCTGGTGTCCCTTCAACCCACAGGAACGGCTGGGCTCGGCCGTGTCCGCACTGGCCGGGGAGGCTGTTTCCTCAGGCCCCTTCCCCAAGCACTCGGCAACTCCCTCCTGTCCTGGGCACCCCTCACTCTCCTATTATTTCTGGACCACACCAGCATGCTCAGGGAGCTCTTCTGGGGCTCGGGGCACCCTATATGGTGCTCCCACACTGTCCCCTCAAGCCCACACTGTGTCTCTGGCCCAGTCGAGGCATCTCTAAAGCCCACGGGGAGAGAACCAAGTCTATCCCATTGGAGAGGTGAGTTTTTTCTGTCCAACAAGGCAAATCGAAAGAGTGGAAAGAGTGCGCCCCGGTGGGAGGTGACTTCCTGTCCTGTGGGAGGCCCGTCACTGGGGTCAGGCGAGCGGGCCACATTGGAGAGGGAACACCAACCCGGGAGAAATGCCCCGGGAGGTCGGGCTCAGCGATGGCAGAGGGATGACGAGAAAGGACAGCAGGCCACACGTGGCCCCTGCGTGGCCAAGGACCCAAGGAAGGAGGCAGGATGGGTCCGGTCTGTGTCCAGCCGAAGCCCGCGGGCTATGGTGGAAGGGCTGCCGGCTGAGGCAGTGGCGGGCACCACAAGGGGGTCTCTGATGAGAAGGCCCCCCCCCAGCCCCTACGGGCACACTGATGAGGCCATGAGTGCTTGGCCACGGGAATGTGCCCCAGGAACAAAGTGCAGGCACTGACCTGTCCCTTGGGACCCTGCGCCTGGGGGCTGCCCACAGCTGTGCCTGTGCCCTGGCTCTGGGGTCGTCTACCTCGAGGCTGGGCCACGTGTGCAGAGGAGTGGGGAGGGGGGTTCTGAGCAGTCAACACCCCCCAGCCCACATCCCGCCGTGGATAGGCAAAGGATGCTAAGACCAGGGGAGACCGGCTGATGGATGGCACACAGCCTGGGGGGTCCCTCCGAACACCACCAGCGGGCAGGGCAGGGGAGGGCAGGGCATGCGGCTGCCAGCATCCCGGGCACTGCGTGATTCTTGGCTCCCCCGGCTCCCCAGACAAGCTGCACACACGCTTCAGATCAGATAAGAACTCGGGAAGAGGTGGGGTGGGGTGGGGTGGGAAGACCCCTCCGAGACACAGGGCAGCCCGGGAAACGTGGAAAACCAGCCGAGGACCACCAAGAGCACGTTCCACTCTGATGGGAAATTGAAACACTTGCGAGGCCGAGTCGGGACATGTCCCTGCTCAGGGAGGCGGCGGGCACCAGGCCCGGCAGGAGAGTGTGTCGGGGCAGCTGAGGCCCTGGCTGGCCTGGGGATGGGCAGCCTCGGTGTCCTCTTCTGCCCATGGGGGTGCGCGTCAACCTCCCCCCCACCTTGCCAGAGAGGCACCCAGAGGTGACGCGGGTGGCGTGGCCCAGCATGGCCGAAAGGGTCGGGGGCACCCGTGGTGGCACCCTGGGGGCAGGTGGCACCGCGCCTTCTCTTACCACTGCTGAGGGCTGAGTTGGCAATGACCGTGGCCTCGCTCCACTGGTCGGCGCTGGACACGGAGTAGGACCTTTGCTGCATGCCGTCCGGTCGGCTGTTGAAGGACACCAGGCTGATGCCGCTGGCCAGCTGCGCCCCAGACGCGCTAGTGACATTCCCTAGGGACAAATGAGCAGGTGAGCACCAGGGTGCGAGGCCCAGGACGCCAGCCCGGGGCAGCGGCACGGAGCGGGCGGGCACTCGGCGAAGACAGGTGACAGGCTGGGCGGGGACAAAGGATGGTGTGAAACAAAGGCCCCCTTTGGGGATGAGGGGCTTTCCGGGCCCTGGGGAGGGGGGAATCCGCCTGCAAACCGAAGGAGGACGGAGGGGGCGGCGCCAGGCAGGGTCCCGGAACGCATGTGACTCTCTGGATCCACGAGACCCACTGGCGGCTGCATGCCATGGACACAGAAGTGGCCCCTTAGCGGGTGACCGAAATAGACCAGGAAAAGGTCCAGGAATGCCCGGCAGCTTCCAGGCGGGGGTGGACAGTGGTGGAGACAGACAATGCCATGCTGAGCTGAATGGAGGAAGCTGGCCCGTTTCCCCACATGGAGACGTGTAACTATCTGCTCCTGCCAGCCCAGACCCGAGGGCACCACTAAGCACCTTCCCCGAAAGCTCGGCCAATCAGACGCCAGGGCTGCTCTAGAGGGGCGTGCCTGACGCCGAGCGCCCTCTGGAACCCCCTCCACGGGGTTGGAGCTGAGTCTGCCATCGTCTTTGTGGCGGGGTTTCCTGGTCCGAGAGTTTATTCCCAAGTATCGGTACTTCCCAAACTGGCCAGTCACCAGAATGCCTCAAGAGCATTCTTCTTCTTCTTTTTTAATTCTTTTACTTTTCTTTTCTTTTCTTTCTTTCTTTTTTGGGACACACCTGGTGATGCTCAGGGGACCCTATGGGATGCTGGGAATCGAGCCTGTGTTGGCCGTGTGCAAGGCAAAACGCCCTACCTGCTGTGCTATCGCTCCAGCCCCTCAAGAACATTTTTAACAAAATAAAAAGTCTACAAACCCAGTCCTGATGGCTCAGTCGCCGCCAGACGCACACACAGCCAGAGACTGTGAGGCAGCAGCCCTTGCCGGGCAGTGGCCAGCCCCCGTCTTGTCCCTGGCAATGGTCCTGAGTCCCGCCAGGGGCCACTCCTGAGCACTGAGCCAGGAACAGCCCCTGAGCATCACCTGATAAGGCCCCCAAACGAAAGTGAATGGAGACCCCAGTGGGTACCCACAGGCAGACCTGGGGCTGTGTGACCAGAGCCTGCCCTTGGCCATCCCAGTGCCCACAGATTGGACGCTGTGAGAAAGTGACCGCATCAACGGCCGAGGCACAGCAGCCAGCCGCCCATGGCCACAGGGTCAGGCTTCTCAGCGGCTTTCCAGCTCTGTGCTCTAGACGGCAACTGAGCCCTAAGGCAGCAGGTGTCCGCCCTGTGTGGAGGCTACGGACCCACAGTGCACACGGTGCACCCCTCCCTCGGGCTCCCACTTTCCCACAGGCCACCCAAGCAGCCGTGCACCGTGGCCATCCTGCACCACGAGAGCAGATCAAGCGGCCTGGGGCCACCCCCTCCAGGGAGGCATCTGGGCTGTGGCATGAGGCAACCGTGACAGGGTTGTTCGCTCAGGGCACTGAGTGCAGAGCCTGGCAACACTCAGCACTGCTGGTGCACCCATACCGGCTGCTCCCTGACACCGGCAGCTTGGGGGCTGGGCCGCAGGGCATCCCCCCAGACAGAGGGCAGCTGGGGACAGTGATGGGCCACAGGACTCAGCTCCTGTGTACCCGGGGCTCTGCAAAGCAAGGGTCTGTGGCTGTCCACCCCAGGATAACGGGGCGTCCCAGCATTCCAGCAGCCAGTGGCAGAGGCCAGTGGGCAAGGGGTGCCCCTGAGAGCCCACGTCCTCCTGGGCTGCAGCCACAGCGGCTCCAGCAGCCTGGAAGGGGCAGGAAATGGGGGTGATGGTCGGGGAGCTCCCCCGGATGAAAGTCCTTCTGCAGGAGGCTGGCTGGCCGCCCTCTCTGTCCGTGCCCCTGGGACCATGCATGGCCTCTCACCAGCACTGCCAACCCCAGGGCCCCCACGGGCAGCTGGCTCCTCCATCCTCACCCCATCCCCCCTGGACCTTGGGGGTGGCCGGTGTGCACTCGCCAGGGAGCCCCGCCCCCCACACCCACCAGAACCACATCTGGGATGAGGGCTCCTTCACCCCTCCCCCCGCCCCCCTTCAGGGAGCCCCAAAGTCCGCTCCTGTTCCCAGTGGGGAGCCCCATATTTCCCGTGGATGAAAGGGGGAGTCAGAAGGAGACCAAAAGATGAGACCATGAGACCCCTCTGACGCAGGGTGCTTGAGACCAAGAGACCCTTCAGGGCCTGCGCGGTGCCCGGGGCCAAGAGATGAGATTCCTGAGACATCATTTGCACAGATCCAGGGAGGAGACCTCTGAGACACCTGCATGGTGCCCAGGACTGAGAGACGAGACCCCTGAGGGGCCTGTGCAATGTGCGGGACCCGGGACAAGATCCCTCAGATGCCTGGACAGTGCCGAGACCGAGGGACCAGACACCCTCAGACGCCCGCACAGTGCCCGGGACCCCTCAGACACCCGTGCAGCTGAGAGAGATGAGACCCCTCAGGTACCCATGCAGTGCCTGGGACAGAGGAACAAGACCCCTCAAATGCCCGCACAGTGCCCGGGACCCTTCAGACACCCGTGCAACGACCGGGACTGACAGACAAGACCCCTCAGACCACTGCGCAGTGCCCGGGACCGAGAGACGAGACCCCTCAGGTGCCTGTGCGGTGCCTGCCCGGGCAGGTGTCAGGCGGCTCCTTTCCTCCGGCCCACTCACTCCCAGCAAGGCAAGCGCCCCCGCCTCAGTGGCTGGGCAGCGGGTCCCCCAGCCCCGACACCCCAAGGATGAAGCCTGCCTTGGCGGCGCAGTGACACCTGCCCCCGGGGCCCGAGCTCGGCTATTGGCTCCCAGACACCTGACAAGCCCAAAGAGCCGATTTACAGGAGAGGAAAGGGGGCTGCAAGGGGGCTCGAAGGGCAGGAGCGGGCGGGACCTCTGTGTGTATGGGGGGCTCCACCCAGCACCACGGACGTGCCCAGCAGCAAGGCCCGCCCCCAGGCCACAGGCCCCGCCCCCAGCACCACTGACCCCGCCCCCAGCATCACAGACCCTGCCCCTAGCAGCAAGGCCCGACCCCAGCACCATAGACCCCTGCTCCCAGGGCCACAGACCCTGCCCCCAGCAGCAAGGACCGCCCAAACGAGAGGCCCCGCCCCCACCGCCACAGATCCCGCCCCAGCAGTGAAGCACAGCCCCTAGCACCACAGACCCTTTCTCCAGCACAAGGCCCCGCCCACAGGGCCACAGACCCCGCCCCAGCGCCACAGGCCCCGCCCCAGCACAAGGCCCCACCCACAGGGCACCACAGGCCCCGCCCCTAGCACCACAAACTCCGCCCCCAGCAGCAAGGTCCACCCAAACGAGGCCCCGCCCCCACTGCCACAAATCCATCACCCAGCAGTAAGGCCCCGCCTCAGTACCACAGACCCCGCCCCCAGAACCATAGACCCCGCCCCAGCGCCACAGGCCCCGCCCCAAGCAATAAGGTCCCACCCCAGCACCATAGACCCCTGCTCCCAGTGCCACAGACCCCGCCCCCAGCAGCAAGGGCCCTACAAGTGTCAGTGGCCCTAGCACCACAGACCCCCACCCCCAGCAGAGAGGCCTGCCCAAACGAGAGGCCCCGCCCCCAGTGCCACAGATCCTGCCCCCAGCAGCAAGACCCACCCAAATGAGGCCCCGCCCCAGCAGTAAAGCCCCGCCCCTAGCACCACAGACCCCGCCCCCAGCAGCAAGGCCCCACCCCAGTACCACAGATCCCGCCCCCAGCAGCAAGGTCCCGCCCCAGCATCAAGGGCCCCCCAAGCGTCAGAGGCCCCGCCCCAGCACAAGGCCCCACCACCAGAATCATTGGCCCCGCCCAGCACAAGGCCCCGCCCCACACCTGGCCCCCACAACAGCAAGGACAACTGCAAGGCCAGGACAGAGGGGGCCCTCTTCCTGCGTCTTCACTGCCAAGGAGCTTCCCTGAGCAGGAGTAGATGCCCTGGGCTAGGAAGCGGGAGAAGAAAGGCAGACCTCAGGCGGGTGCTGGTGTGGCCGGGAGACCTTGGGCGGGTGCTGATATGGAAGGGACACCTTGCGCCGGTGCTGATGTGGAAACGATGTCAGATACCATGGCGTTATCCTTGCTCCTCCTCCCGCAGGGACCACATACATTTATTGAGTTACTCCCACAACAGTGCCCCTGAGGCACACCCAATTCCATCTGTCGCACTGTACCACTGTCCTCCCGTTCATCGATTTGCTCGAGCGGGCCCAGTAACGTCTCCCTTGTGAGACTTGTTGCTACTGTGTTTGGCATATTGAATACGTCACAGGGAGCTTGCCAGGCTTTGCCGTGCGGGCGAGATACTCCCGGTAGCTTGCCGGGCTCTCCGAGAGGAATCGAACCTGGCTCGGCAGGGCCGGCTGCGCTCAAGGCAAATGCCCTACTGCCGTGCAATGGCTCCATCAGGCACTGATAATCCTGATTGCTTCTCTCTTTCCTTTATGTCCTTTCCTGGCTTATTTAGCAGTGTCCTTTTTGTAGAGACACAGGAAGAGAGTTCATGCTATGCTTTTGTAGCGTGGGAGTTAATTGAGTCTAAATAATATTTACTCCTGGGCGTCTGTCGTATTTACTGGACTTAAGCCTCAGTTGCCCTACTTCCTAACGCCCTCAAAAGGAGGGTCCTGACGAACCCAGGGCAAGCTGTAAGCTCCCCTGGCATGGAAAGGGGACAAGCTAAGCACCATAAGTAGAAGTTAAGAGAACGGTCATGGAACAAACTCTGTCATGACCTCAAAAGAAGAAGCTGAAGAAGGACCCTGCTGGGGTTAGGAAAGACTGACCCGGCCTGAGTTCTGTGGTCTGGGATATACAGCGAGATGTCCCGAGGAAGAGCCAACCTTTAAGCTTCATATATCTCCTACTGTGTTCATACACAATGACCAGAAATACTCTAAGAAGTAATTGTTTCAATGGATTGTTTAAAT